AAGGTTGCCATTCACATGGTCTTGTACCACATACAGAATCCTGCAGTATAATAATTAACTGTACATATCTCTTCACATAAATGTTCATGAAGTCAGATGCTAATTATTTTGGGTTATCAGATATCAGATATCAGAAAACAATGTAATGAAGTTAAACCACTTGAGCCTTCAACTTTTAAGGACACTAGAGAAGATTTTTAGAAGATCTAAAAGTTTGTCTATAAGTTAATTAAAGTAAACAGTTTCATAGCTGTTGGTTTAAAATATGAATAACATTATTTTAGAACAATTCCTTCCACTATAGTGCTATTTTCAATATAGTTATCAGATTTCCTGATTTCTTTGCTTGAACAAGTGGTGTTAGCCATACTCAAGCCTGGAAAAAGAAAAGAGCATGGGATTTTTTAAATTAAATTATACTTTCAAAGCTTTATGGCGCCAGTAATATTAAAGATCCTGGAAGAGAAAATGGAAAGTCTACAGCTGTGATTTCTCAGGTGTTTAAGACCCTAACAGTTTCAAATATGTTTGCAACTGAGGAGACAGCCTTCCTTGCCATATTTTTTTGTCATTGAAAATGTGTCCCCCCTCCAGAAAAACACTCCTGAGATGCAAGCCCTTACTTCTTTGTCCCACAGTCTCTGAAAGTCCACCTGCTATTTCATGGCAGTTTACTCTAGGAATTAGTATTTAATCCAGAATTCAGTACTATCTGACCAGTATACTGTATCCCTGTTGTGTGACAGTGTCTGCCATTCCTAAGATAAAGTTACTGTATGGTGAAAATCAGTTTAAAAACGAATAATAATAAAAACCAAATAAAGAGTAAGAAGCAATATGTTCCTTTATGAATTTATATTTTTAATTTAAAGAAGGAAAAGATAAACTGTTTTATAGTTGAGGACTTGAGAGTCACAAAAAGCCAATAAAATATAAAATATGGAATTATATTTCTGCTCTTTGCTATGTCCTCTGCATTCTTGTTTTTGGTTTTTGTTTCATTTATTCTTTATTTTGGTCTTTAAGTGCTCTTCGTTTGTGTTTTCAGTGCATGGTCAGAACTTCATAAGAATAAAATTAACACCCATTTAATTTATTTCCTTAGGCCTATCTTCTCAAAGCTAAATCAAGGGCAAGATTTTTTTTTTTCATCTCCAAGAAATTTTAATATTTAAATTATGTTCTACTAGCTTTCATTTCCACTTCGTGACATAATCCAGCTGAGTGGATTTAGACCTATTCATTTTGCCATCACCAATGCAGATTTCATTTTTCATGTCCATTTTCCAGTAGCTTTGATTCTTATACTATTTATCAGAACCCAGAGACAGGCAGCTAGTTTGTTGAAAGAAAAAGAATCTGTTTCAGGGCAAAAAGACAAATCAGGTGTCCTTATTTAACCCTCTTTGTCTTCACGTGGAAGATGTGTTCACACAGCTATTGAAAAAGAACACTGTTCTACTAAAAAATAAATAAATAAATATCCAGATGCTCCAAAATTAGTGACAAATTATTATTTTGAGGTTGCATTTATGACCTACTTTTTGTAGGTCATAAAAATGGGTAAAAATCCTATATATTATTCATCATTATTAAATTAAAAATATTAATTGCTAGAATAAGTAGCTTTGAATTTGCAGTTTTTCACATTTCTCAGTTGTGCTTCAGTACCCTCATTTGGAGTGGGTGTCTTACAAGAATGAAAGAAGGAAATTATTTGGTGCCTGATGCAAGTGCTTGCTTTCAGTAGTATATTGTTTATTAAAAAGGGATGAATGGTCTTACTTAGATATTCAAGGTAGCTAAACACTTAAAGCTCAATTAAAGCTTATGAAATTGTTCATTCTGAGGACAGAAAAGCTCCCTTCCCCTACTTGTAATTAGAATTATATATGGGGAGCTAAGAACAACAGCAATGGGAGGAAGAGGAGGTTAGAGTAACAGAGTTGAGTTAATTTCAGAAGCTTGAAGAAATAGCGAATAAATTAGGCTGTTAAAATTCGTTTTATTGCAAGTTGACAGGTGCTCAGCACAGGTAATTAATTCTGTGAGTTTTAATAAACTAGAATTAGAAACAAATAAGGAACATCTTCTCCTAAAGCACTGGGGAAGATGTGCAGCACTATCTCTTGGTGCAGACAGGCTGACACATTGCAGCTTTCTGTGAGTGATGGGCCACAAGGCTTTAGCGATGCTGCTGCACGTGCAGCAAGGTGAGAGGAGGTGGTGGTCCCTTGGCAAGGGAGAAGAGGAAAGGGAGAAGGAGAGGTTGGGAGTAGTCCATGACCTGGTGAGAAAATAAAAATTACTAATAAAGTACTTGCTAAAATTATGGCTCCCTGGCTAGAGATACTCAATGCCCCACTTACTTAATAACAGCCTTTGGTGAAAAAGAATTTTTGTTCCTATTTGGAAATAAACTTCCCAGATATAGTGCTTTCTCAGGCAGAACAGCATTGGTCATTTATTTGTTTATCAAAGGGGAAGAATACAGAGGTACATAAAAGCAAGTTTTCCACAGTGACATTGGTCATCTGTGCTGAACCCATGGCTATGCTTGGGAGAGGCAAGCTTTGTTTGCCAGGACTGCTTCTCTGGCTGGGGAAGGAGGGAGGCTGAATTCTCTTCAAGCACTGCCTGCACATGATTCTGTCATCAAGATCCCACAGTGGTTGTTAGGTGATGTTTTGAGGCTGATTTGCATCTTTCTGATGGTATGTGATGCAAATAGACTGTTGTATCAGTGATACAGACTTACCATCGGCGTTCATTAAAGACCCCTGTCTGCCATTCAGAAGAGTTAGTTATAATCAGCAGTCATATATTCCAGCTAAAGCACAGATTGCTTCTAATAAAACTTGCTTCTGTCTTCTCATTTTGTGATCAACATGATGATTAACATTTTCATCACAGTTTTTTCTTCCACAACAACCATGTCCACATTTGTCTCAGATTATCATCATCTATCTTTCTTCCAACACAGGGGATAAATTGTGAACTAATTCCTACAGTCTATACTCAGTCAGCCACAAGAGTTAGCAATGTTTTCACCAAGAAGATCAGGATTTGTTTGTATTTGCATTATTTAGAAGGGAAGTAGTATATTCACGTTTTTTTTTCAGGGTAATACTGTGTTTTACCTATGCAGTTTCTCCCTAAAAGATTCTGTACTGTTCCTCAAAAGTCTTTTTATTGTCAAATTCTCGTTGGATAGGAAAACAAATTAAAGTTGCATAGTGGGAATTCATAACATATGAGCCAGTTAGTAAAAGAAAGGACATTTCCATATTTTCTATTATATTTATTGTGTGTTTCACTGCATAGCTTTCACTTTAAATAAGTATTTATTTTTCATATACAAGAAATACTGCTATCAGTCAGGCTTTACCAGGATAGATTTAATGAATCCATATAGTTTAGGGACATCTAAACATAAGAATTAATGGCAAAATCTAGGATGGAATGACTAATGCATTTTCAGGGTCTGCTGTTTTTTTCCAGTTTACATTCCTTGCTTTTTAAAAATGAATAATAGTTCTCTTGCAGATAATTATATAGAATGCCTTTCCCCCAGACTTAAATAGACAATTTGATCCAGGATTAGAAAACAAGGCAATTGTCACATCTGTAAATTCATAGCAGGAAATCATTAAGGTTTGACTCTTCAAGTGCCTAACTTTTTGAAAGTGCAGAGGTTGATAACAGCTAATGCTAATATCAGCTGATATCAGCTATGTATTTGAGGAACTGTTGGGAAAATTATCACAATAGAAAATTCAGGACAAAAAGACCTGAAAGGAATTAGGACTATAAAATGAACTAAAAAACATGTGTGGTGCCATTTATATCTTATTCTTCCTAAATTTTTGTAGCTATCAGCCTTGATTCAACAATATATGCAAGCATCTATACATAATTAGGAATTCACATATTTTCTCCTTAAATAGTTTGCTGAACTGGGATTTTAGTAAAAAAATTGACTTTTATTGATTTTATTACATGCATGTAAGATGTGTATGCTGCATTAAAAAATAATCATAAAAATAATATTTACATTTCTCAGCTACGATCCTGCATTACTAATATTGGGTGCATGAAATATTTTTTTTTTGTTAACCTTGATATCATTTTGACACTTCAAATTGTGATAAGGATAAATTGTGGTAAGGATATTCCCAACATTTTGTGAGTGATTTTCAACTCTTCTCCACAGTGTGTGGTTTTGGTTCTGGGGTACAATGCACACTGCATTTTATAGCCTGCAACTAACATTTGAAGCAACACAGTGGAGGGTAGATCATCATTTATGCGAAGAAGCTCATTTATATAAGCTACAGTGTCAAGTTTAATTAAGGGCTACAGTGACAAAAGAAAGCCGATTACATATGCTCAAAATACTTTTCTGATGACAAATGACTGACACCCATAAAAACAATATCCAGGGTAATTGTTAAGGTTATGATACTCAAACCTGACTAAAAAGATGTCAGGCAGTATATTCCGATAGCTTAAGGTTCTATGATTTTTAAATAAAAAAATCAAATAAATCAAACTTAATCTATTGACTGAAATTCAGATTTACAGTCAGGATCATTCTGCATGGAGGGAAAGAAAATATAACTGGCAATTAGGAGCATTTGTATCCCCACATTTTCTTTCTTTAGCTCTGTGAGATTTTATAATCAGTAACTTTGTAGCTTGCTTACCACAATGGCTTTATGATGATCCCTGGTCAAAGTGAACGTGTAGAGAAAAATCTGGTGGCATGATTTATTTTGTGTTCTTTGTCCCTGCTTAGCACACTCAGTGTTTGGGAAAACCTCTCCTGCCCAATCCCCATCAACATCTCTCTTTCTCTCTCTCTTTGTGGCCACCACATCACAAATGGGGAGTTGATGCAAAGGATAAAGGTCAAGGTGATAGAATATGACAGCTCTTTGAATTGAAGAGAAATGAATGTCCCTAAGTATTCAGCATGAGCTTCTCTTTGCTCCTTGCAGGGCATCTGCACCACAACCACCGCATTTTTACACTTCTTCTTCTTAGCTTCATTCTGTTGGGTTTTGACAGAAGCGTGGCAGTCATATATGGCTGTTACTGGAAAAATTAGGACACGGCTCATAAGGAAACGTTTCCTGTGCCTTGGATGGGGTAAGTCTATACAATTCATTTCCTTAGAATCATTGGAATGAAATGTTTAATGCAGCGACAATGTCAAGAATATCATCATATTCTTCAGTAAACCTGAAAGATAGTAGACAGCATGTTACTAAAAAGAAAAGTAGGTTAGGAGCCTTTCCACTTTATCTCAAGCTCAAGCTATGCTGGTGTATATTTTAGCATTCTTTTATAAATATGTTTTAAAAAAAATTTAGAAGATTTTTGGCAAAGTAGTATAATATCAAGAAATCAAAATAAAACAATAAAAAAACATTCACTGAATATTCATGAAGCCTCTTCCTAGTTCACTTTAAGACCTGTCAAATGTCGCAGTAATTCAGCTACATCAAAGTGGTACACCGTGGGCAGAAAACAGTGTCCTCCTCCCTGTCAGTGCTGCAGAAAAACAAACCCTGCAATAGCACTGCACTTCATTAAATGATTCATTCCATGTGAAATTGGCCATTTTGCATTAGCTTGCCCTGTCATTTTTTGTCCAGACAGAACAGCAATATTTTGCTCAGCATCTAACAGTTATTACTGTTTCGGTTTTTTTCAGGTTTACCAGCATTAGTGGTTGCAATATCAATAGGCTTTACCAAGACAAAAGGATATGGAACAGCCCACTAGTAAGTCAATCTGAAATGATAAATTAAGTCTTTAATTAACAAGACTGTCATACCCATTACATAGCATAGTCTAAAGGAATAGGAATCACATAGCATAGTCTAAAGGCTCTGCGGGTATCCACTCACACTTGGAACTGCCCTAAGAGTCACTGAGCGGTCCACAAAAGAACAAAGAGAAAACCATATGCCAGTCTTGGACTGGGCTCAGCAAAGCACCAGGGATCCTGGATTTCTTGTGAAGTTTTGAAGTAGCAAGGCTTTTAGAAACAGTGAGGAAAAAGTCAACTTAGATACCTAACATTTGTATACATTTACCAAAGAGAATGTTAAATGTTATGACTAGCCTTTGCCAGCCTCTAAACATGCCTAAAACTGTACTGGCAAGAGTCTCTTTGGCACCCAAGTTTCTGCCTACCAAGCATGTACCTCAGCTTTAATGCCCCTGAGCTGCTTGGAGCCAAAGCCCTGCAGAAATCTCAAAATAGCTCTCCCATCCATCCCCTGTCTCCTGGGGTGCCTGATCCAGCCCATTTCCTATACTGGGCTGTACTGGAGCAACAGCGAGGAGGAGGTCTGTGTACTCCATTTACATTTTATTAATACAGTTCCTGTTTAGCCACCTGGCTGGTTCCAGTGCATATCTAGCGCCCTGGAAAATTCACTCCTCAGCAAGACTGCCCTTCAGTTGTCTCCCGCTGAAGAAGGAGCATGGGCTGAGCCTCCCTCCGGCCAGCAGACCACTCACACCACCAAGACATTATGTATGACAGAGCGCGTTTCCTTCAGTCGTCCTGTTTGGAGCTCTCCTCACGTTGCCTAAGAAATTAAGTATGCATCTGGACAGAAAGAGAGGAGATATGACTCTGTGGCTGGGTAATGAGGGCATCCATCAGAGATGTGGATGAGTTAGGTCAAGTCCTCACTCTAATGAATATTTAATTATTCTCCTTAGCATCATCAATGAGTGAGATCAGGATTGCCCCTCCCTGCCCTGTGTGTCCCACCATCTTGGCACATGGCAGGGGAGGCTTCAAGCCCTCACTCCAGCTTTGGGTGGGTAAGGATTCAAAAGCTCCTCCTGAATACCAGCTCTAACCACTGAACTCCTTAGTTTTAAATTGTAACAATGTGCATCTTGCATTTTTTAATGAGAAATGGCTGACTTAACTGAAGTGCTTAACTTGCACCTATAGCTGCCAATCATTAGTGAAACAATGGTCTTAACTGTCTTTTGGGAGTTCTATTGAGGACCTGCTCCTCTGACATTTTCTGTAACAAATATGCGCTCACCTTGCTGGTTTTTTTTTTTTATTTATTATTTAGTCCTTGAACCAGGACTGGAGAACTGTTTAGGCTGTGAGAATTACAAATCACAGGATTACAATGTCCAGATCCCATTGGGGACGTAGCTCTGTCCCTTGCAGGATCAATCCTATTGCATTTACTGTACTGAAATTATTAATGTGTGACTACTTGCTTTAGTTAGTGTTGCTTCCTGCTTCCTTCCTGGGCTGAATGTATTTTTAAAAGAGGATATACTGAAATATTCAGACAAAGCAACAAATCATTCATTAAGGGTAACCTCAAAAGTGAAAAAGAGCAGTTCTCTGTACATATAACAGCTCCTCTCCCAGGATCCAAATTCAGCTGACGCAGTACCATGGGACAAAAGCACAAAAGGAGGTGTGCAAGGGACAAACAGAACCGTAATGCAGCTTTCTCATCTTATTTACAAATACACTTTCTTGGAATTTGACATCAGAATTACATAACAAAAACAGGGAATGCAAGGAATGGAGATTCCTCCTCCATCACCAGCTGATGTGCTGTCCTACTCTTACAAGCAAGCAAAGAATTGTGTCCATAACAACTGCAGAGCTCCTGTCCTGCTCCTCCGCCTGCTCCTCCTCCCATAACGAGAGCATTTGTCTAAGTTTTTTGATTGCTTACGCTATGTTTGGCCTGTTTGGCTGCAATCGATTACACACATGCTGCCGTCAGAAATACATCCGGTTGCAAACTATTCCTGGTCCGTAAGATGCTATTTTTGAAACTGGCAGTTTCAAATGGAGAAAATTAAGAGTGAAAATGAAGGAATTTATTCCAGTCTCATAGTCCCACACATGAAGAGATTGATGAAATGGGAGAAGGCCCAAGGATCTCGGAAGCAGATCTCAGTTTCATACAATATATGGCTGATGGGGGTGGCTTGAATTGCTCACACTTGAGCCAATTCTGTGATCAACTGTCTCCGATTTCTATCTTTTTCTTTCAGTCTTAATATTGGACAATTACATTACTGTACATTTAAAACTACATATGAAAATATTTCACACAGACATGTGTACTGATATAGATACAGAAGCTGAAGGGATTTCGTGAAAATAATAAAAAAACCACAGTGACAAGTTTTTAGATATTTCAGGATATCTGAAAAAAAAAAAATGTGTCTGAAAGCTTGATTGTTTTTTTCCAAATATTTCTGTGAGACTAATAAATATTGTTGCTGCTTGTCTTCAGACAATCAGAGCTATGAAAGCACCACTACTAAAAATTATATTTAATAAACCTGCATGACCTACTCATGTTTACATATGGTGCTATATATTAATGACCAGTGCAGACGACTTTCAGGAATTCGTTAGATCAACAAAAATTAAAACACTCTCATAGTCATGCTCTCCTAAGAGAAGGAGCCAATCTCCTGGAGAGCATCAAACAACTCACAAAATGTACAGGACACAGGAGCAAGTCTACAGATACTCCATCACTCAGCAGAATTTTATGACCATGTAACAAGATCCCATAAAACCCCCAGTGGATGCTTTTAATACTGATTAATTTATATGGCTTTCTGCTATGTGGGGATCAGGGAGAAAGAAGACAGAACAGAACAAAATAAAAACAACCATAAAGCATAGAAAAAAAGCTATCAGAGCAAAGAAAAAGAAGAGAAGAAGGAAAAAACAGTAAAAAATTTACAACAATTGCCTTATGGTATAAGAAGAGACCTGAGAATCTGTCTTCAGAAAGTCTTCAACAGAAAAAGATTGGGAAAAAGCGCATTTCAGAGTCATCAACTGGCTGATACTGATTACATTGCAATAATCACACCACACATTGTACAAAATCCAGACTGTTGAAAATAAAGACTGAGTAAAGAAAAGAGGACAACCTTTACTTTTTTTCCCAGCTCTGCCTCTAAATGGAAGTCACTCTTTTTGAACAGCCTTTTTACATAGGGCATGGGAAAGGGAGGGAACAATTCTCCCTTGGTCTTAAAGATTCTTGTGGTAGAAACTCTTTTCATTTCAAAAAAACTTGTTGACCCTGTTTTTTCAGCACAGGTTAACTGAAATTATGTTTCCAATACAATACATCAACAGGTTTTATGAACTGATGTTTCTATCTCCCAATACACATGAAAATTTTAATTACATGTTTTAGTTACAAAGAATGGTCACCTTCAGTAAGTAAAAGTTCATACTAGTAGGGAAATGCACTGTAAATACATTCCCCCTTCTCAGAAGCCCATGTTCTCAGTCTCTCACAATAAATAACCTAGCTTTTGGAAAAACAGCAAGAAAAATTGCAGAAAATTTTGAAAGCATTTTTCTTTGACATTACAAAAATAAATTGAACATTACTGTTGAATTGGTTTTTTGAGGTAGGGTGTAGAATAGCCTGACATGTATTACCTTTCAACAGAGAAGCAGGTATGAACCATTCACATCAATTTATCATTCCAGAATTTAGCACACTGTTGCAGCTGGGTTCATGTGGCAGATTTCACATAGCTTCATTGCAATGGGAAACACTTTCATTCTTTGCAGCTAGAATTCCAGCCATAACAGATCATTAATATTATGATGTGCTTGCATTTAATTTGCTTGGTTTTCAAAAGTACAAAAACAGTACTGGAAAATAAAGAAGATATGTATGATTCTGATGTGAATGTTTCTGGATGTGAGATCCAAGTAAATTATTTGAATGCATATACTTGAGTTTTCTTATATGTAGGTGTGATCATGCATTCAAATAAACATGCAGCTCTTTGAATGTGTAATCACTGGGAAAATAGCACAGCTGCATTTACTTCAGTGTGCGAAGATCCTGATCTTTTGCAGATATGGAAAGCTTCACATCATGGTGTATCAAATATTTAGAATTTGATTCTGTAAGCGCTCTGTGTTTGGAAATCTGATGGTTTTCAGTGAAAGCCCTGATGCAATATGACAAACTCTGCAAGATTAGTAGCTCACCAGAAAATACAGTTTTCAGATGCTTTAAAATATACATCTAAATTGTTTGCAAAATATTCCAGAGAACACATAACGGTTATATCATATTTGATTTTGCTTTAATGGGAATATTGTCTGTAAGACCTAGTTCTAATAGCAATTACTAAATGACATAAGAGAAGATATGTAGAAAACTGTTTTTTTCTGAAGTTCTACATAACAGGTAGTTGACCTTTCATTGGTTTAAGTGTAGAACTATCAGACATTGCAAGCTATAAATGTTTCTAAATACTTACCTGGCAAGTCCTGTTCAGTTAACTCATCATACACAGTTAGAGGACATTCAGTAAAGATTTGCACACTTATTTTCTATTGCGCTCTTAATATATTTTAGGCGTTTCAGTGTATGTATAGCTCTCACTGATAATGGAAATATCTTTCAACTCTCTACATCATCATACAACAAAGTAATACTTTTTTGTGTGTGCATATGAATCTCTATATGTAGGTTCAACATACACTGGAAGAATCTCATATTGTAGTAATTATTAATGCTTTCTTGGCAATACATTATGCTTATTTTTAATTTGTGCTAGTTCTTCTCTCTAATGTTCTTTCTAGCTGTTGGCTGTCTCTTGAAGGAGGGCTACTTTATGCTTTCGTTGGACCTGCAGCTGCTGTTGTCTTGGTAAACGTTAATATAATTTCCAGTATTTTCATGTGAAATGATGGAATGTGCTATTTAAATTATAAAAGCTTAGCCATACAGTAACAATACCTTTTGCTGTAAATGCTGAGCTCAGTGTTGTTTAACATACCTTCAGTATTTCGAATGCATGATTCATTTAATTGTATCACTTCTTTATACCAGTTATCTCTCCATGTTTACAAAGTAAGCTGTGAAATAATGCACTAATTAGTGGCACAGAAAACTCGTTACAGGCATCACTGAGTTATTATCAGTAGCATCTACGCAGTTCTCACTACCTTGTGAAGTTCAGTGACAGTCTTGATAGAGCGCTGCTTGGCAGCGTATTGCTGTGCCAACAAAAGCAACAGGAGGACTAGAACCAGCCAGCAAGTTCTCCATGGCTACTGCTTTTGAAGGCAGAAAAAATATCATCATAGCTGGGAAATGTTACACATTTGTGTGTTAATCTTCCACATCTCTGGAAATGCATTTAGGTGTAGGATTCACTTTGCCTAATTGTAGGCATCTGCTAGTTATCCCAGCCATATTTCATTGCCAGTGGAGAAAAATGTGCACTTTTAGGGCTCAAGCCATCAGAAGTATTTCAATTGTCTACTTTAGGGTAACACGAACTGCACCCTACATGTGCCATCAGCTATCAGTCATCTTCTCTCCAGTCTTTATGGACGTTCTACAATAATTTGTTTAGCATTTTTCCCTTACAGATTTTGAACTTAATTCGTCTTTCCATTCCACCAATTTTATACTAGGATAGCTCTATCAACACCAGTTATTTCTGATTTTTCCCTTGCAAAAGGGAATCGGTCTTAGTAGTCATCAAAGATATAGCCATTTCACTACATAGATTTTCCTGAAATGGATGTTTACTGCTCTCATAGAGTTTGTCTCATCATTGCCTGGAGTCAAGCCAGGATCCTTTTGTACAACTCACAGTCCCTGTCATGATAGAGGAGCCAAGGATGTTTACAGAAAGCCAGTCATAATTTTCACATGGAACTGTATGTTCTCTGTGTAATTGGCAAGCTTTGTTCAGAGATGTTTGAAGTTCACAGTCACAGTTTGCCCTACCATTAGCTAGTAGCTATGGCAGGAGCTGTTCCATGCAAGCACTTAAGCCTAAGTGTACGAAGCAAAAGGATTGTATAACATCAGCTGAAAAATGTGAATGATGAAAATAAAGTGATAATAAGAAAAGCTGGAAAGAGTTGGCAAGACAGACTGGCAACAATTAGGTATTTTGGCACAGGTCTTGAAAAATCAGTTTGAAAGGAAAAAAAAGGATTACTCTTTTCTAATAAAAATAAGGAACATTTATTTAATAGATTCAAAACTTAGTATTACCTCTTTGCAGACCACGCAGAGACAGGTTCATAGAGTTCAGTTCAATAATACAAATGGATAATAACAGTCATTAAGTTGTTCATTAAATGCCATTAGTATGTCCATTGAGTGCCAAAGTCTGACTGCTGAAACACTTGAAATTTTTTTTTAGGTTAGGTCTTCAACCGATGTATGTGATCATAACACCATTTACTTTAATGGAGCTAAACAGACTTACCCCAGGCATCCATCTGGCCCACAAAAAAAGAAACCTGCAGTCAAACAAGGCTCAAGACTGGCATTTTGGTGAATGACACAGATAATGACTAATGTGCAGGAGGATATGGAAAACTGCAGACTGGTTCTGCATCAGTGGGAGCACCCACATGGGCCGTAAATGCTTAAAAAGGAACACAGTTACGGTCGTCATGTGCTCTGACTAGCTCTGCCGCCCCGTGCACACAACTCAAATGCAGTGGTTTTCCTGGAATAGGGTATATCATTTCAATTAAAACTGAGGAAATACTAAAACTGTCTTACTCAAGCTACTGGCCACCAGACAGGTATCCATATAACCTGATACCAGGCATACGTCAAGATTCAAAACCAAGCCCATTGCAGTGTGCGTGTGTGTTACCCATTTGAGAATACACACTTTTGGTGTGCTCAGGGACAGGGTTACACAATTTCTGATGAACTCAGAAATGTAACAGGAGGCATTTTGCAGGCCTGTAAGAGCATTTTTCTGAAGTAACAGGATAAATTATTTTCTTTCAGGCTCTGAAAGATCAACTGTTTGTTTTCTGTTTGACAGGTCAACATGGTGATTGGCATTTTGGTATTTAATAAACTTGTTTCCAGAGATGGAATCCTAGATAAAAAGCTCAAACACAGAGCGGGGTAAGCAATAATTGGGTTATTTTAAAGCATATTAAAATTGTATCACCAATTTTCAAATACAGATCTTCACCAAAAATGCTTTTGATTGTGCTTTGAACCTTTATATCAGTGTAACAGTGTGTCTAAGATTCCATTCATCTCAAAAGATGCTGTTGCATTGTCCTGGCAGAATGCAGGATGAACAGACTAAACATAATAAAACACAAGTACAACAGTATTAAGTTAATAATAATGAGGATTAAACAAATCTGAGCAGAGGTTTCACAAGAATGTCACACATGTAAAGTTGTTGCAGTTGGGAAAACAGTTTTATGAACTGTGTGTACTGAAGGAAACATTTATTTTTCTCTAACTGTCAACTTTAATTATGACGGTAGGAATTGTTACTCATTTGTATGAACTGTTATAAAATTTATTTTACAGCAATATAACCCTTACTGAGGTCAATGCTATTCTACCATTCTATGTGAAGAACTTGTGTTTGTTCTTACATCCATATATACATAGATGTATTTTTTAAATCAGTGTATTAGAACTCCAAAGGAAAACCCCCATGTTTTAAAAGAAAAAAAAAAAAAGTAAATAGAAATACTGTGTTATTGATTATTCAAATTCTGTTTGTTATCATGAGAAGAAAGGATTATGACAGTGGTGGTATCAGAAGCTGTTTTCTGCATTTCTAGCAATGATAAGCAATGATATCTTTATTTTACTGTGTATTACTGTTATGAGTAAATTTATTTCAGCTTCACTTTGAATTATTTTACCATTTCACTAACAGCAGCATTCTTAATAAGTTCAAGTTATTGGTTAGATAAGCAAATTTATGATAAATACTTCAGCTGTTGTGATTTGCATTTAATATTAATTCAATTAAACTTTCTTGTTTTCAGCTCTTTCACCATTATTCTGACAAATATGTACCAAAAGCTTTCATTTTTGTTCTTCTCTTTCCTCTTTTTTCATTAGAAAGTGTTAATTTCTTTACCTTCCTCTTTTCTACATTGCTCCATCAACATTCTTAACTGTGTAATAACACTGATGAAATCTAGAATTACTAGTAATCACTAATTCAAATTCACATCTGCTCTAATTCCAGTGATTTATGGACTTGGAGCAGCCATGGGTTTGGCTTTGTATATCTTCTAAAGATATCCAAACTTAGATTTAACTGCATCATTTTTTTTCAGCTACCAAATTGTTGTCTATAGAAATCTATTTGCTTATAGTATACTTCCCTGATGAAGCAAATAGCTTGCTTTCTAACAGTGCACAATTCAGTAAAGAGGTATTTTATTTTAAAGTAAATGGATAAAGAACTAGAAATTATTCAGTCAGAAAGAATCCAGCTATTCTGGGAAAGCATGGAGATGCCCTAATTGAGAAACAATCTTAACATTTGTGATAGTACGAGATGGTGGCTTGGCAACAGCATTCCTTGATACTACTTGGCAGATGAAGAGTCTTGAGTCATTCTTTGGGGCATAGAATTTGACCTCCAGTAGAAAGGGGATTGTCACTCATTTCTCAAGTATCTCTTGCCAGCCATGCTCAGGAAGGCAATTTCATTCTTTCTGGCAAACATAGGACTTACCTGTCAAAAGTTCAGCTGTAGAAATCATTTATGTAGGATTCAAAGAAGTGAATGGGGCAAAATATACTAAATGCATATGTTTTTTTCCACCTTAATAAGCATATGGAGAATCATCAAATGTCTTTGATGGATATCAATTATTTTCCTGGCATAAGGGTTAGCACACATATATGCCCAGCCAGAAAGATAATATTTGGTCTATATACGCATCAAGTTCTATTATCTGCAAGATCCAGAACAAATCTAAAGAGGTAAAGAGAATAATCTGGCCTGATAACATTGAATTATTGCCAAGCAAAAATGGAAAGTATTTTCCCAAGCTTAGGTTAAGCTTAGCCAACGCATTTATCTAGTTCATTCATTGAAGTAGATCTTTAATTGGTGTAAACTGATGTGGATTCACTGAGTTCTTTTTACACCCCACAATCACATCATAGAAGTCATGGCTCTCACTGGATTTTATGGAAAAAATGCATTTTTATGGAAAATATACAACACTTTAATGGAAAATCATCATTTGGTTTATCAAAATGGAAACCACTGGAGTTCAATGTTGTTTTGGGCATTATGTTAAAAATCTTGTGAATGTTGGGTTTGGCAATGAAAAAGAGTTCTGTTGGTTGAAATAACTGGGAAAAAACTGAAGTGTTACCTATCTTCACCATGTTGACCACTTTCCAGCTGGGAATAGGTAAAGCACCCTTCTTGTCTCATCTCAGTCAGCTATGGTTATTCCTGGTTCTGATAGCAGAAAGAGAAAGAATAGCAAAAGTCTTTATTTAGTTGACTCAGGAAGTTGAATGCATGCTGTATGTAAAAGAAAATTTAAATTCCAGGTTTTGCCCTTTAACTCTTCTGACAGGTGCCGAGGTACAATTGTCTATACAAAACGCTTTGAGCTTAATGCTTGTGTACTGTGTTTTATTAGAATGCAAAACAGGTCACCCTTTCTTTAGTACCAACTGATATTTATTTCATCAGATTCCATACATTTCAAGCCCTGTATTCAGACCTTCATATAGCATGAATAAAATCACTCCAGATGTTAGTGGGCCATTCAAATCACTAGAACAAATCTGACTATACAGTACGCCCATACTGATTT